ATCGACCTTTGGTTTGATTGCATGTTGCTGTTTAAGAGATATTTCTTAAATTGATTGGGTGGTAGTCAACCCTTTTTGTGCCCTTTTAATGCATTATTTTGATGAGATTTTGTCAAAAGAAGTGGTTCAAAAACAATTTACTGATTAATATGTAGCTAAATTTTGTCATTTGAAACTTTTGACATGCAGGTGAAGCGAACCTCTCGAAAATTGTATAAAAACACCAGTTCATCGACCATTTTTAACACAAATTTTTAAAAATACTCCATTAAATAACAATGATCATATAAAGACACATAAAAATTGATTACAAAACCAGTTAAATTTCTTAAAAATGAACCTCAAAAACTATAAAAACATCAGTTCCTTACTTTTTAAAACAATTAATTATACTATTCGCAGTTTCGGCTATTGACTCAGATGATCATAAAACTAATTGTGTTTCCTGTTAATAATGTATTTCATTCTTCCAATACAAATATTCCCGGACGTCGTTAATCCTTGTTTCTTTTAATGGAAATTCTGACAAATAAGCGGAAATTTTATACTTCCTCTATTATTTTCATTATCTTGTTTCTGCCATTCCCTCTATTCTTTGACTATCTTAGAAACAGAAGTGGGATGCTATTAGTATCTTGTCTCACATTAGAGCCTTTCAAAAGACAAGCGGACTCCTGAATCGGTAATCAAGTGGCCGTAACCCGAGCTGGGACTTTATTCTTCCGTCCAACTAAAGTAGGAACATCATTTTAGTCAAATGCCTGCAATAGGCCCTCTTATTCAGAGACAGTAGTGTTAGGCTCCCATCTGCAAATAGTCTTTTTATTTTCTTCTGTTTTTAGTGTGTTTAAGTGTTTACCCTCAATGGCTTTTATTTTTATTTCTACTCATTTTCTTAGATTAACCACCTTATATTCACAATGCGCTTGTTAGTTAAAAACAGAAACCAAAAGGTTTTAAAACATTTTATATTCCACTTGGTGTGCATTATCAGTGTCTCATCAAATTTTGATTCGTTAATTTAACCAACTTCTCATCAAACTGGAGCTCTGAAACTTTGAGATCGTTGTTGCTCGCCTAATAATGCAATATTTAGTTATTTGCGGTTTTACTAATATTTCAATATTTTTAATAATAATACAGTTTAATGCTCCACTTGGTGGTTTACAAAATTCATTGGCATTTTTAGATAATTGTTTGTAACTTTTAAATATTTCAATAATTTGTTTAATGTTTTGCCATATAAGCTGAATTGTTTTTAAAACGTTGGTTTTATCTCAATTAAAAATAAGAGGAAAAGTTTTTCATTTTTATGTGTATTGTTAATAATAAAGACTCGCGCCCTGGAAGATGTTTTCCTTAGCTTTGATAAATTATTTAAAATTTCATGAAAGAAACTTGAGTGTGTTTTTCAGAAAAATTACTCAGCGAAAGTTAAGTTTCTTTCTTTCTTTTCTCTATTCAACGATTCATTTCAAAACCAAAGGCCCAATATCTTAATTTTATGTCTATTGTATCTAAAAATATAGGAATTTGTACAAATATTTATCTGTTAAGCCTATGACTGCATTTTGTTACTTGTCTCGTCTGTCAAACCAGTTATATAATGTATCAAGGAATGCACACACCGGAATATGATGCGCGTACATTATGCAATTGTTCCGAGCGAATTGAGTAAAAATTTCACCTAATCTGCTATACACAGCATAATACTTCCGCGTACATCACACTAACACTCTTTTTTATTACCATAAGTTTAATTAGATTCTCATCTCCTGTCTTTCCGCGTCTCCCTCTCTTTTTTTAATTCTCACTTCACTTCAATTTATGTATGAGCTTTGCTTTGAAAAATCGGAAGCTGAGTCGTTTCAATGAAGTAACGTCCACAAAAAGACTAAAAGGACAATTGAAGGGAAATAAGCGTCCTGTCATTACAAGACAACTGTGATAAATTTTAATTCTTTCAAACTTAATCGCCCGTGATATAAACGCACATCAAAATCATTCATACTGAATTTCGTGAATACCTAACAAAAATTATTGACACTTTGTATTCTTCAACTCTGCTTCAGAAATCCTTGGATTAAAATAAATTTCAATTGAGAAAAACTGATCTTAAGATTCATAGTTTGTAAATTAGAATTTAAGAATATTTCTTTCAGAAAAATATTATTTGAATCATAATTCGTTTGAAAATGGAATGACCAAAAACCATTTCAGATTTAACGGCGTTCGCTTCTGTGTATTCATGTGCTTCGAGGTGATATAAAACTTGTAAAACTGTGAAATAAATTTAAGAAATTTATTACCATTTGTAAAAATAAAAAAATATTTCAACGAATGTAACAAGTTTCTTAAATTTATTGAAGTGGATAAAGAAACTATTGATGCGGAAATTGGAAAAAGGATTATAAAATAATAAACCAGGTTCCACCGAGATTTGAACTCGGATCACTGGATTCAAAGTCCAGCGAAACAGCGTGCTAACCATTGCTGCTACCCGCTGAACCACATGCAATGGTTTTTCCCTCTCAGGCTCTCCCCTTCTTCTTCTTTATCGACAATCCATCATTCAACAAATCCCAGGCGCCTGAGTCTTCATCCCACTTCATCCTCTCCTTTTTATGCGCGGATCAGAGTCCGTCACATAGGATCCTAACTTCTCTTCCTTCCCCGATTTCTGCGGGGTCCCTAAACACAAGCATATTATCCCCTCCCTCTCTTATGTGGGTTCTCCTCCCGAGGGGGAAATGAGATGACTGATCGAAGCCGAGAAAAATCTGGCTCCAGACCCCTTCAACCTTTATATGTGTGTGGATCTGAGAAAGTCCTCTTCTTCCTCACTGTGCGTGAACCTCATTTATTACCTCCCAGGATTAATTTAGAAAACGATTCTTGCGAACTCCTCTCTTCCACCAATATACATGATCTTTGTTTGAGACATATTCCTTGATAGTGGGTGGGGGAAGTCCCCGAAGTTCTCTTTAGGTCATCTCCCAATCTGTTTCCTGGTTTCATCATCTGATGCCTTTACTTCCTTCAACCGACATCCACGCAAAATGCTATTTTAACTCGTTGTACATTTTGTATTTAGGTGAGTGTTTCCTCTTTCGCTATTTTTAAAGTAATTGCTGTCCTTCTGGGTTTCAGGGAACTCTCCCAGGCTGGAACATCTCCTCAAACGTATTATTTGGATGCCAAATAATCCTGGCAAAAAGGCAACCTGAAAACATCGGGATTAATTCTTCCTTCCTGATCGTTAGAAGTCTGACTGCCAAGCAAACACTCCATCACACAAGCATTAAAGTTTCTGAGAGTTGAAACGTGGAAATGATAGAGGCCACCACGCGTTAACCTGAACCCATACACACCG